AATGGGATCTGCTGATACGTGGACACCTGTATGTAATATAAACTGATGATGGAATCTCCGATGAGAAGCCAGAGATCAGAACATTTTTACACTGACAGAATTTTCTGTCCTCGGGAGAGAATCAAAAGAGCAATATGGCCAGGACAGCTGTCACCGCCCACCAATCCGGAAAACCTAAACTTATTATTAATCAGAGAAACATTCTGATAGGCATATAGAAAAACTCCTAAAATAATTATGAATAAATTGTGACTACTCAGACTCCGAGTGGAGTTATCAATACAAGTGATGCAAGACGTATCTACCTATAGCCTCTGGTCAGGTTAAAGCTGAGCTATATACAGGATGCTAGAAAGTTGAATGTGCATGAGGCTGTTTGAAGTAAATTGCGGGTGTACTTCTGTGCCCCGAATACACAGCTGCCCACACTAATAAATGGCTGTAGGTGGTTGTCTGCATAAACCTTCACATTGCTTCCAGGGGCGTATAACTTTATGCATGTGCAGGTTTATGGAAGTAGTGACACAAACCCACAATCAGCAGCCTACAGCCATTGATTACTATGGGTGGCAGCTGTGCATCCTGGGCGTGGAAACTTGCCAGCAATTTTTTTTCTTTTAAGGCCTCATGCATCTATGTGCACAAGGCCTAAGCTGCATTTCAGGCAACACCTAAAAGTCCATCATTGAGCTGCTAATGCTTACCTAGCAACACTACAGCTGTGCTAAAGGCAAAATAATTATATGCAATTTAATGTAATCTGAGTAACCGCTACAGTAAGAGATTGCACAGACCCACGAGCTCTCACATTATGGAGATAAGGTACCCTACCCAGAGTCCTGACCCTCACGGCACTGGGGTTCACCAGTTATAGTTGTTCCAGTGCAGCTGCATGCAGTACAGAGACATTTTTGAAGTAGTTCCAACAGATGTTGATATGTTTAATCCTTACTACTGTTCACATGCAATCGAGCTACATTTTTGGATCGCAGTCTGCGCACTGCTACTTGATCCATGTGTTGTTTCACTTTGGAGTTTACCTGCATTGTTACCATTTATTCTATCAATAAAAACTAACATGCTGAAAAAAAAAAAAAGAGATTGCACAGCTCCTCACATGCTCATTGTCAGGGTGCCTTTGAAAACCTATGCTGTGTGTTGGTTAAATGCTTTGAAAGGCCAATCGCTAAGTAATTACTAGAAACTGAGCAATTTAACAACCATGGGTGGTAAACTTAGCAATACATTGACAGCTTTAATATGGTTTATTAAAAGATCAAACTGAAAACAGAAAAAAAGATGCATATTTGGTTGAAAGCCTTTTCTTTTTGCCACCAGGTACGATCAGAGCAATTCTGGTCCCATCTTCTTGATGTCTTGGATTGCTTTGTGATTTTGACAGAAAATAAAATCCCACATTTGATCGCTCACTGTCAATTAATGGTGTCATGCTTTCCCAGTGGACTTCAGGTTCCCATAGACAGCTAATGACTGTCTTTCAGTCAGGTCAGTGTCTCCATTAACAGCTTTGGATAGTCCAGGCTGACAGGTCTCCAGGCAGCTTAGAAAACCTTGCACGATCAACATTGTTTCCCCCAAAATAAGTCTGCACCTAGACTGTTTGCTGGGAATAAGCCTTGTCTCCCTCCTGCCAATGCTTACAGCAGAACCACAATAAAATATTACCTTAAAGCAATACTAAGGGGTGTAATTATAAATAATAAAGCAGTGAATTTTGAATTTACTGATCATGCACTGCAGGTGAATCTTCCTGGTGTATGTGTTTTTGTGATTGATTCAGTGAATGTTTGGTGAAAGTCATATTCACTGCTTAAATATTCCCTAACATTCATGCTGAACAACTTTGCATCACTTTCAATTTGCAGAGACTTACATTAAATTTGTATTGTGCCTACAGGGCAAAAAATGTGCAAAAGTCTGTTCAACGAAACACAGACAGGATTAAAACCTTGGTCAGGTTTTGCTGTATGTCTTCTCTGATACGTACCCATTCTTCTCATCCTGATTAGGGTTGAAAATAGGTTCAGATCAAACCCATTTTAAACAAGGAAGGAGCTCCTCTGAACATGGAAGGAAGCTCCTTCCACTGCTGCCCAATCAGCTGCGCTTGGGGAATTCCCGACTGCGCATAAGCAAGGGTCAAGGTGCAGTGATGTAATTTACCTTATATGGCCACATGGCTATATTTGATCAATGACATTGGCCTCGCCATGTGGCCAAATAAGGTGAATGACATCAGCACAAGCATCCCGCCCCTTTTTTTAATGTCCAGCTGTAAAGCAGGGAATGCCGTAGTCCACAGCTAACTGGGCAAGTGGCTTGGTCTGAACCTGAGCTTCTTCCTAGTCCTGATAACCTTTGTCATTTGATGGCAAGTTTTATGATTGTCACCGACACTGGAGAGGATAGCTTCCATTGGGTACACCTGTTCCAGGGTCAAAAGTCTAATTTTCCCTCACTTTGAGAAGATTCTTACTCATTACCTGTCATGTCTCTGAAAGAGGGTGTGAAGGGAAATCTCCCCAAAAGGAACCCAGAAAGTAATAAAAGCAATTAAAAGCCACTGGATACACTAGATATAATGTTACAAAATTGCCTAATTTAGTTGTAACCGTAAACAGGGTCAAACCTGTAAAAGAACCAGACACAGACAGCTGGGAGGTACAATGGGATCTGCTGATACGTGGACACCTGTATGTAATATAAACTGATGATGGAATCTCCGATGAGAAGCCAGAGATCAGAACATTTTTACACTGACAGAATTTTCTGTCCTCGGGAGAGAATCAAAAGAGCAATATGGCCAGGACAGCTGTCACCGCCCACCAATCCGGAAAACCTAAACTTATTATTAATCAGAGAAACATTCTGATAGGCATATAGAAAAACTCCTAAAATAATTATGAATAAATTGTGACTACTCAGACTCCGAGTGGAGTTATCAATACAAGTGATGCAAGACGTATCTACCTATAGCCTCTGGTCAGGTTAAAGCTGAGCTATATACAGGATGCTAGAAAGTTGAATGTGCATGAGGCTGTTTGAAGTAAATTGCGGGTGTACTTCTGTGCCCCGAATACACAGCTGCCCACACTAATAAATGGCTGTAGGTGGTTGTCTGCATAAACCTTCACATTGCTTCCAGGGGCGTATAACTTTATGCATGTGCAGGTTTATGGAAGTAGTGACACAAACCCACAATCAGCAGCCTACAGCCATTGATTACTATGGGTGGCAGCTGTGCATCCTGGGCGTGGAAACTTGCCAGCAATTTTTTTTCTTTTAAGGCCTCATGCATCTATGTGCACAAGGCCTAAGCTGCATTTCAGGCAACACCTAAAAGTCCATCATTGAGCTGCTAATGCTTACCTAGCAACACTACAGCTGTGCTAAAGGCAAAATAATTATATGCAATTTAATGTAATCTGAGTAACCGCTACAGTAAGAGATTGCACAGACCCACGAGCTCTCACATTATGGAGATAAGGTACCCTACCCAGAGTCCTGACCCTCACGGCACTGGGGTTCACCAGTTATAGTTGTTCCAGTGCAGCTGCATGCAGTACAGAGACATTTTTGAAGTAGTTCCAACAGATGTTGATATGTTTAATCCTTACTACTGTTCACATGCAATCGAGCTACATTTTTGGATCGCAGTCTGCGCACTGCTACTTGATCCATGTGTTGTTTCACTTTGGAGTTTACCTGCATTGTTACCATTTATTCTATCAATAAAAACTAACATGCTGAAAAAAAAAAAAAGAGATTGCACAGCTCCTCACATGCTCATTGTCAGGGTGCCTTTGAAAACCTATGCTGTGAAACGTCTCGTGTTTGCTTGCAGTATCACCAATGCTGCCATTGAGGTTAACATTGGTGGTCTTGGGCCCACTCACACAGGGTGTGGCAATGTGCGCATTTGTACGCATTACAGTAAAGCATGGCAATACACCGGCTCTAGATGGGGTGAGTTGTGCTGCCATTAATTGTGAAAGGCACCCCACCGCATTGTATAGTGGAGCCCAAAGAACAACACAATGCAGTGCATCACAACTAATATATTGTGCATTGCTACAAAATAGTCATGGCCAATGCACAATAACAAATGCCTTAATGTGCTTTAACACAACGCAACAGAATGCCTAGGGTGCGACTCAGTCTTTTGAGAAACTTCTTGCTATTGATACTGATACATCAAGATTTGTACATTGGAGAGACAGTAAGGAACCTACAGTGGGTGTTTTTGTGAATTCCTCTCCTGGATTATGAAATGGTAAGCAAAAGGAGTTCCCAGATCATGAAATTGCCAAGAAAAGAGTGACAATATTGGCGGTGACAATACAGCAATGCCTGGTTAAATAAAGGAAATTGTGAGTGGATAGGCTGATTTTTCTTTACGGATCGTGAGTCACATCATGTGATATTCTGCAGGCAGAGATGGGATAATCTTTATTCATGAGTCCCGGTGACCCATTCAGAACCTAAGACAGCGATGAAGAGCACACTATAGGGGGCCTAGCCTGTTACATTTTTTATAAAAAATATCCTTTTTAATATTCAACAGTTTGGATCCAGCCAGAGCTAAGCATAAACTATAGGTGCAGTGAACTTCGGCACACACAACAAGTATGCCAGTCTTTAAAACTATTCTTCTGAAGTTAAAAACTAACTTTGCATAGAGTAGGTAGGGGTTACGACTTCTTTGACGTTTTATATGCTGCCTGTGTATGCATTCAGGAGATTTACTCTTACTGTTCTGACACTGCCAACTGTACAGAAAGTGAGAATAAATCCCCAACTGCACAAACAGTAGTAAAATGATAAGAAAAGCTGTAACCCTTGCCCACTTTACCCACAACTAAAAAAACAAACAAAAAACATTGGCTGGAATAGCGCTTTCAAGTCCATTTTTGTACCTGTAACCAATAAATATGCAAATTGTGTGCACATTTTAGGAATGCATGTTTGTTTTCACTTACCTGGCCCATCCCAGTCATCAGCCACTATCCCGGTTTGCGTTGTTGCCTCTGCCTGTGTCTCGCCATCTGATTCTCCTGTTCCATGACTGCCCTCTTCATCTCCTGAATTCAAGACAATGAGGCAATATTGCATTAAAAAGAGTCTACAATTAATCTACACTCAGAAGAACATCAACAATACACAGCAGCTTATAGTGCTCGTAAACACCCGCTGGTGTGTGTTGTGTTGCATTGATATAACGCAAGGCACTGCTTGCCTTTACCTTATTTGTTTTTAACCTCACAAAATTACACTTCAGTTAAGTTTATGCAATGCAATACTCTATTGCACACGACTGCATTTTTATGCAAAACACTGCAACCCCTCTCAAGGCTGCTAGACCGGTCTCTGCAGCCCCCTCTCTCTCTTCGCTGCGGCAGTCTAAGAACCTGTGAGTCATCACATCCAATACAGTGCATAGGACGTGAGGATGCCAAGGGACATTCTATTGCTGGAGTGGAGAGGGAGAGAGGCTGCAGAGACCGATCTAGCAGAGAGCTGGGTCTGAGGATCAGGCGATCGTTTCTATTATTTTAGACCCTAGACAAAAATAAACACTTAACCCTTGAAATGCGCAGGTAGCCCCATTGCAAGGGTTAAGTTTTCTACTGCCCAGAATTCTTTAAAAAATACAGTCATACTTCCCAACTTTCGGAAATAAGAAAAAGGGACACCTTCCAGTACAATGTATTTAGGCAATGGACACACCTCTCCCACATCCCCAATTATACGAACAATTAAAAATTCATATGCCAGAAATGATTGGTTTAACCCAGAATCTTTTTTCAACTATTAATTTTCCCTTATAATGGCTTTTCCAAATAGTTAACAATATAGTTAGGAGATAAGATTAAGGTATCAGTGCAGGATAACAGACTTGGTAGTTAAATAGAACCTTTTCAGAGATATCTCTACACAGGACCAAAAAGGGGGAAAACAGAGGAGGAAAGAGGGACAGGGGGATTTGGTTCCAAATAAGGGACAATCTCTTCAAATGAGGGGCAGTTGGGAGGTATGTACAGTGGATTCCTCATTTCACCCCCTACCTTCTGTCTGGACAGTGAAAGAGCAGTGGCAGAATGATGAGGTCATCTCTTTGCTCATACTGCTCTCTCCTCAGTATGTTTCTTGTCAACACATTGCATGCATGCGGCATACCTGATTGTTTCCTTAGTCCTGCTCCTTCCTCTTCCTGTCTATGTGCTGCCGGATTGGCGTATTAAAGAGGCTTAAACCACATCAAATTCAGATATTTGCACTAGTTGCATTAAAAAATACATTTAATGATTTATAAATGAAGACAAAGCTCTATTCATTGGTGTCTCTGGTCTCAATTCACAAAGCTTTAGAACAGGGATTAGCCAAACTACGGCCCTCCAGCTGTGGTGGAACTACAAATCCCATGAGGCATTGCAAGATTCTCACAGCCACATGCATGACTCCCAGAGAGAGATGCATCATGGGATTTGTAGTTTGGAGTGGAGAGGGAGAGAGGCTGCAGAGACCGATCTAGCAGAGAGCTGGGTCTGAGGATCAGGCGATCGTTTCTATTATTTTAGACCCTAGACAAAAATAAACACTTAACCCTTGAAATGCGCAGGTAGCCCCATTGCAAGGGTTAAGTTTTCTACTGCCCAGAATTCTTTAAAAAATACAGTCATACTTCCCAACTTTCGGAAATAAGAAAAAGGGACACCTTCCAGTACAATGTATTTAGGCAATGGACACACCTCTCCCACATCCCCAATTATACGAACAATTAAAAATTCATATGCCAGAAATGATTGGTTTAACCCAGAATCTTTTTTCAACTATTAATTTTCCCTTATAATGGCTTTTCCAAATAGTTAACAATATAGTTAGGAGATAAGATTAAGGTATCAGTGCAGGATAACAGACTTGGTAGTTAAATAGAACCTTTTCAGAGATATCTCTACACAGGACCAAAAAGGGGGAAAACAGAGGAGGAAAGAGGGACAGGGGGATTTGGTTCCAAATAAGGGACAATCTCTTCAAATGAGGGGCAGTTGGGAGGTATGTACAGTGGATTCCTCATTTCACCCCCTACCTTCTGTCTGGACAGTGAAAGAGCAGTGGCAGAATGATGAGGTCATCTCTTTGCTCATACTGCTCTCTCCTCAGTATGTTTCTTGTCAACACATTGCATGCATGCGGCATACCTGATTGTTTCCTTAGTCCTGCTCCTTCCTCTTCCTGTCTATGTGCTGCCGGATTGGCGTATTAAAGAGGCTTAAACCACATCAAATTCAGATATTTGCACTAGTTGCATTAAAAAATACATTTAATGATTTATAAATGAAGACAAAGCTCTATTCATTGGTGTCTCTGGTCTCAATTCACAAAGCTTTAGAACAGGGATTAGCCAAACTACGGCCCTCCAGCTGTGGTGGAACTACAAATCCCATGAGGCATTGCAAGATTCTCACAGCCACATGCATGACTCCCAGAGAGAGATGCATCATGGGATTTGTAGTTTCACCACAGCTGGAGGGCCGGAGTTTGGCTACCCCTGCAAGTTTAGAACAAGGATATGGATCTTTATTTTAGCCATGTGACTGTAATTTTCAAATCCCATTGGACTCAACTGAAAATAACTGTCACTTTTTCTTTGTGAATTGAGTCTTTTATCTCTTTTATATCTGCCTGGAGTTTAGATTTAATAACACAACCATACACAGAAATTAAATCATAGATTTGTGAGCTTGGAAATGTAATGCAGTAATATAAACAGCCCAATGACACTGCCATAGGTACCATGGGGAAAGAGAAGAAAATATTTATGATTACTGCATCTAAAAGGGTCTTCTGGATTCTCACACACTATAATTTTATCACAAATATTTGCCAAATCATTGTGAACCTGGGTGCCAAAATCACAGGGTGTGGTAACTTATTCAGGAAGTCTGTTGAGTGAAGGCGGCCTCTCCCCATTATATCTTCAGAACATTCTGATAAACTCTAATTTTTTGCAATTATGTTTATTGATGATGCTAAAAACTGCAGACATTCTGCTTAATATAGCAAAATATCTTGGCTTAAAATCAGACCTTTCATAAAATAGAGTGGTAAACTGAAATATCGATGACAAAATGTGTTTATTGGGAAAATAATATATTCCCTTCCAGCTAAACTCTATACAGTACATAGTAAGGATTTTAGCAACTTTTATTGGAGAGTCTTACCCAGGGCCGGATTTCCCACAAGGCCAAACGAGGCCCGGCCTCGGGGCAGCAGGGAGCAGAGGGGCAGCAGGGGTGGGGCATTCCTATCTCCCGACGCTCGGGACATGCAGTTCTGGGCGCCGGGCAGGTAGTTGTTTTCTACATTTAGCCCGGCTACTGATAAAAGGTCAACAGGAAAAAAAAAAACCAACAATACTTTTTGAGGGTTCTCTGAGCTCCCCCTTCATCAGGGCTTATGAAATTAGAAATTACAATATTAACCAGTGTCATTGAATGGATGTGCTCACTGTTCTATGATTGGCGCACCTTCCATATTCGGCAACATTTAAAAAGCATTAGGGGTGAAGAAAAATGTATGTATGGATGTGATCAATAAAATGGGTGTTGCAAAATATTACCAAGCACAATAACCTACTGTGCAATAATAACCCCCAGCACAATATCCTACAGTGCAATAATAAACTCCGTCACAATAACCCCCAGCACAATATCCTACAGTACAATAATAAACTCCATCACAATATCCCCAGCACAATAACCCTAGTGTAGAACCCCCAGCACAATATCTTACATTGCAATAATAACCTTCAGCAATATAATAACCCCCAGCACAATAATAACCTCCAGCACAATAACTTACAGCACAATAATCCCTTGCACAATAACCCTGATCACAATAATAACCTCTAGCTCACTAACCTACACTTCAATAATAAGCCCCAGTACAATAATAACCCCAACACAATAACCTACAGTATAAAAATACCCCCAACACAATACCCCTTAGCACAATGACCTACAGAACAATAATAACCTCATCAAAAAAAAAACCACAGCACAATAACCCCCAGCACAGTAATAAACCCCAACACAGTAAAAAAAAAAACCCAGCACAATACCCCCGTAGCACCGTAATAAACCCCAGCCCCGTAATAACTCTAACACAATTACTAACAAACATCTAATGATCTTTAGCTCCTGGGCACCTATAACATGAACAGAATCCTGAAAACATAAACTAAGCACCAGGTTGTCTGCTTTTCCCTATCAGCATATATAATAGCTTCAATGCACCTAAACAGCCCCTAGCATCTTCAGAAGGAGGCCCGCGATGGCAGCCCCCAGATTTCCCTCACAACCGCTCTCTTTAAGCGGACAAGGCAGCAGCTATGGAGTCCTCCACCACAGGAAGCTGCCAAATCATTAGGGTAACATCCATATAGATTATTTTACTGCTCAGTATCATCCTTTGTATAAACGTCTGGAAACATGTCTTTCTTTAATGTTTAAACTCCTTCATTATTTTTGTGATCTTATTTTTTTTTTTAAATCAGGTGTTTGCTTCTTCCCCGTCCACCTGCTGGATTGCCCCGCTTAAATTTATGTTCCAACCCAACCCAACTCTAATATATTTGTTGTGCTGCCAGCTTTCACCCATCTCCAGCGTAATGATTTCTTTGTTTTAGAAAGTGCCGGAAAGGGGTTAGCAGAGGTGGGCAAACTTCAGCCCTCCAGCTGTGGTGAAACTACAAATTCCATCATGCATCTGCCTCTGGGAGTCATGCCTGTGGCTGTGATAATCTTGCAATGCCTCCTGGGGTTTGTAGTTCCACAATAGGTGCATGGCCGTAGTTTGCCCACCCCTGCATTAGAGTCTCGGTCAGGTTTCTATGGCTGTTTGTGTCTCTGTTGGGGAGATTTCCCTTCATTTGCTGCCAGGAAAGGACAGGATAGGAGATGTTTCCAGAGACAAAACCACATTCCTAATAGAGTGAGAAAGGGTTAGAGCTTCTGACAACATTCCTCTTCAGGTGACAACCATTTCTCTCATTTCTTCTAAGGGTGTCACGGGCACAGGA